GCGGCATCTCCCCCAGATTTTCGGCACCGGCCGTGGGCTTGCGACAAAAGTAACGTGGATATGGTATGCGGTGGCACGACATCGTGTTCACTTCGCGTTTCCCTACTGGACTGACCTTGACCTATTCTGGGATGTACCAAATATGTCTTCGGCTACGTCGAAATGGGGCCGCATTGGTCGTACAAGAGAAGACGGGGCATAGAAACTGCTCTTCCAAACATCCATAGTCCTTGTGCTGTAGTGACATGAAACCCCACAAAAATATATGGCATAATTACATAGCAACGAAATCACTCTGGATATACAACTGGCAGAAAGGGAAGTCCATGCGACAAATCAACGGCTCGGAAAGGCTATGTTGTGTAGATGCCGTCCCACCGTGTGGACGGAAGCCTTTAGAAATCTGACTGCTTGCTGCAGGTAAATGGAGACATGCACGAGTTTGTCGCGTGGTAAAATGTGCTATTCCCTCGGTCCATACCCTGTACCATCGAATTTGTCCAGAAGCATCATAGATTTAGGGTGTGCCACAGCACATATTCGGCCAGGCTGCTCTCAACGATACCAGAGTTAGCCAGTTCAACCCGGAAGATGCTTCTGCCGTCGAACGCACAGAGGGCGTAGGTGTATAGCCTTGTGCGCGTAATGGGCAGTTAACGCACCATCTTGCATTCCACATGGTGACAGGCGGCTGATCACATGAACCTCAAAGTCAGTCACATGGCCACTGTAGTGGTTTTACTGCATAAGCCTGGACCTGCCTAGAATCAACGTTTGGATATTGACAGCTTTTTTCGGTCAAACTTTGTCCCTCCACAGGAGGTCTGGAACTGCAAAAAGGAAATGCCGGGAAGACCGACTAAGCGCACGGATTAGAAAGATACACAGCCCACCAGAAGCCCAATCGAGTGGTCAGGCCCCACCCAATCCCGCTGTCTCGCAGCTCTGTGCGCCCCACGTTCGCGGTCCGAAGTCGGTCCAGATCGTCGGCACAGCTGGAGGAGCGTTCACATTCCGCCTCCGCTGCAGCGTAGCATTGTACTTGGGTGTTGGGTCCGGAGCCATCATTTATACAGCAAAGGATTCGCCGATTGCCGAGGCCAGGTTGCATAGTGCTTACTGTATAGATTCATCCGACTTGTCAATGCTCAACAATTGCAGCCAAGATGGACTGCAAAAGAAAAGCGTCGGGCGCAGGTCGTGTTCGGAGATAGGCAATATCAGCTTCGCGAGGGCCGCCTAAGTGGGTGACAAATCTCACGATGCACTCGGAGATCCATGTGAGTCAGCAGATGGATGCGACTCACTCGTCGCGTAAACTCCTTATTCACGGGGTGCAATGCAGATCTGCCTTGATAGTAGCTATTTTAAGAAACGCGGAGCTTAGAGAAACAGCAAGTTCTGCACCGACGTTATGAGATGCATTTCTCAGCCAGCTTATACATTGTGACATAGGCAACCCGATGCGCGGCTGTGGGGGCCGGGCGGATGACTGAGAACTCTATTTGTATTCTGTGACTGGTACCAGGAAACCGGGTCGTTCCTTATTCATGACAGGTCATCAAGATATAAGCATGTACGGCTGCGATCAGATTGCTGCACACAACGTCGTACGCGAGATGACGATTAAAAATGGCAACGCTGAAAGACGACGCAATGCTTAACAAAGCCAAGCCTACCGTGCTCCTTCTGCCAAAGCTGTTGAATGCAAACTGCGGAGTCATTATCAAGGGCACGGTAACTGCGGCCCCGCGAGACGCGTAAACGCACCTTGCTTAGCATGCCGGCGCAGTCATAAATCGCGCGGAATTTTTTTATGATTACGTGATGAATCTTGCATGGCTCATACAGTTCAACCCGCGTCTTTTCAGCTGCCATGGCCGGGAAAAAAAAAAGGTTTTGGAAAATTTCATGCTGCACAAAATGCTACTCTAGGTTGTGAGTTTGTGATGGAAAATTCGACGCCGGACAACCCAAGCCGGCCTGCATGTCAAAAATGCATGTTCGAGAACACGTTTTGCCAAGAGTTTCGGTGCGTCCGCCGCTAAAGGGCCGGCGAGCAACATGTGCATCCCGTTCTCCCACGGTAGCGAAAAGTATCCGGAATAGGATTGCTTTTGTTCTTGTGAAAGGCCGTATAACAGAATTCCAGATTAGTTTTCAAGGTAACGATATGATATCGTATTTTTAGCAGTACATTGTGCCAAGTGAAACTTTTGGGACGTCTACAGGCATTACGAAGCACCACAACACAATGTTCAGGTGGCTACGGTTACATAGGTCTTAGGATACGAAGAGCAGTGGATGAGTGGATCCAATAAGAATCCAAATGAGCCTGCTTATGTCAGGTACACGCATGTAAACGAGTTATCGGATCTGGCTGCCTTTTGCCTTGAGCGACTGGCTCATGTCTGAGATGGTGCCTGGAAGACTGTCCCCAATACTATGTCTAGCTTATACTCACCTGTATCATAGTGGGTGTTACCTTGCGCCACTTGGAGGATCGCTTGTTTTGGGGGTGAGGACCAGGTCAGCAGCTGACCACATTGGGGAATCAAAACCCGCTTGTTGTCGCGCTGATCTAGTCATCGCAGAATTGCAAATTGCATACCAGTGAAGGCGAATACAAGCAAGGCAGTGATCGGATGCACTTCCCCGAAATGGAGACGGCGGTTAAGAGTCATCATGAACTCTGCTGGACTATGTAACTGCTGAGTTCTGATGTACACTTTTGCATGGGCCATTTGCTAGGTACGTACACACATAGTACAGTATGGAACAGCCCTGTTCGGCTCCATAGCTGGTCGCATCGAAGGGCCGGCTTAGAGTTGGGGGGTTATCCATGTCCAGCGCAAGCGAAAGACATGTGGCTTGCTCTGGAACCTGTGGCAGTGCAGTGGAAAAGCTCGAATGCGAAGTGGTAAGTTATGCAGTTCCAAGTTCCAAGTTCCACGGACTCTCCAGCCTTGGAGTATGCTGTGGGTGCTATCTTGTCCAATTGACGGCAATGATCGGCGGGGCACGGGAACGGCTTGGGCTATGGCGCATGGGAATAATGGCAGAGACTGAGAGACTACAGGGCAGAGTTTTGGGTACGTGCATACAGCAGTAGCTAAAAGGGTCGGTTAGAGCGATGGGATCCGACGTGTTTAGTTACGGAGTTGTCCAGAGTAGCTAGTTACATACAGTAGGGCATTGGTCAGCCAGTGACTCGAAAGGTGTGCCGAGAGAAAGAGTGTTCCCCGGCTTTTCTCCGTCAGCATGTCTTGCGCATCCGAAGACGCCCTGGAGCTTGAGCAGCACTAAAATTTTAAATTTTTTCCTTCTTCCTTTCTGGCTGGCGGTGCTATCGGCAGGGACGGTGTACTCCGCGGACCCTGGAAAAACAAGACTGCCAGAATGCTGTGCAAAGCTAGAGGGAAGAAGAGCCACCAGAATACGTTAGCGTGCATTGAGGCACAAAAGCGCGGGCCAGTTACGCATTCCGCATATGGTGAGTGCGAGTACGTACCCTGAGTGACACCCAGGCTACGTCACGAAGCCAGCCAGGCAAGGGTTGCATGCAAGAGCTCCCACACAGCATGCAGCAGAGGGTGTCCATCTCAGGGTCGGGGTCAGGGTCCTGCTCGCGGTCCTGTCCCTCTCTTAGTGGAACAACTGGGGCAGGAAACCATAGGGAATCTTGCTGCTTGTATATATTTGTTTGTTTATTTAACCAAAAATCCAGTCGCCGCCCAATCCCGCTGACTCTGTGATCATATCATTACCATACCACGTCGACTCATCAGCGCCGACTATCTTATACAAGAACAAGACAAGGCAAGACAAGGCAAGACAATACTTTGTACATCCGACATTCACCATTGCCGGAACTAGTATAAACCCGATACTAGCCAGCACCAGATATTAATCATCGAGAATCTTTCCCTGCGGAAGAGTGGGAACAAAGAGGCCTCGCTTTCAATGGTCAATGGCTGAGTCGACCACATGACCAGACATTGAGAAAGAGACATTCCTTACAAAAAGCACCGTACTTAATCAGCGAGAAGAAGGAGAAGAAGAAACCGGTTCCAGACGTTTCTAAACGCCGACAAGGGTATAAATTCCAAGCTCAACTCAAAAAGTCAAGTTCCATTTTTTGGGGGGAGACTTGTACTTTACTACAGTATCCGGAGTGCCGGGTTCGCGACCAAGAAAAGACTATAAAGGTCACCTCTCGCCACCCCCCGCCCCAGACCCACTCTCTTAACTCCTACCTGCAAACACTTATACTCTAATCTCAAACTCAACCACATCATCATCCCACACAACATGATTCTTGCTCATAACAACTACCCAAGAACACATCCTTACTTTGTTCAACAACACCACCAACAGCAACAACAACAGTATAACAACCAAAGCACTTTCGACTCGAGCAACAACGGTATTGCGTCGGCGCCACACTCGACATACAACCTGAACCAGTCAACAGGCTTCGACCTTTCGACGAGAGCGACCACGAACAATAACTACAAGTTCCCTTCGGCCTCGCCCTGCGACTCCACTACCAACAGCCAGAGTCTCAGTCAAGTACCAGACTTGATGCCGTCCTCAGAGCCGTGGCTGGTACACAACTACCACCAGCAGACACCAAGAGCCACCCAGCGCTTGGGTCACAACCGCGAGTCTTCTTTGTCCTCGTTGAACTCGAATGGGCCTGCGTCGCCATACACTTCGAATACCTCGAATCCGCACATCGCCATCACTGACTCGACTGATGGCTACCACGATCTCGCTGGCACCGACGGCAACTACTCTTATCAGCTGGGCAAGCCCATGTCTTCTGACAACTTCTACACGAGTATACAAGGACTAGGCAACCAAAACAACGCTCTGGCAGATTTATCCTTTGCGGATGGTCTATCCAACATGTCGGGCTCGCAGCAGCAACAACAACATCAACATCAGCAAAAGAGGTTCGCCAATGACCGAGGCCTACTACCGGCCGCGGATGTTTCGTCGATTGGCTCGCGTTCGGTGGCAAGTAGTACAGTTGGCGGTGACTCACAACCTGCCACGCCATCCTTCCAGGAACCTGCCGAGGAAGAGACGAAGAGGCGAAAAAATGGTGAGATCCCCGTGGTCCCAAGTCCTCTTCTGCCCCAATTTCTCGTCTCTGGATCTGAAGCAAGTGAATCTTCCAGCTCACACTTTGATACAGTTTTCCAAAACGTTCCCAAGCTGGACCGCACCATGACAGATGTGTACAGTGACGAGCTCTACAGCCCGCACTTCACCATTACCTCTGCATCTCCCCAACCACAAGCGCATACTGCCATGTCACCTACCAGCGGCGTTTTCGCTGAGCGCCTTGCTTTGGCCAATACTCAACACCTGAGTGCCGTGCAATCTCCTGTGTCGAGCACTTCACGTACCAACTCGCCCTTCCGTCAGGGATCGCCGTTGGCACCCTCGTTGAACGATTTCTCGCAGAATGCACCTCAGATACGCTTGAACTCGGCCCAGCAGATGCGCGAGAAGCAAAAGCAGGAGCGTGATGCTCGGGCTCTTCAGGAGCAGCTGAGCCGTACTGCCAATCAGCAGCATGGCACGCCGAGCACCATCTCGCCCAAGGATGCAATGCTCGACTTCAACGATTCTGATGAATGTGCAGACTTCCCGCTCTTCCCACCTCAGGAGACGAGCACCTTCGACTTGAACCAGCTCAGCAAGGTCGTTCCCCAGCAACGGCAACAGCAACAGCAACAGCAACAGCAACAGCAACAGCAACAGCAACAGCAACAGCAACAGCAACAGCAACAGCAACAGCAACAGCAACAGCAACAGCAACAGCAACAGCAACAGCCGCAACAGGTGGCCCAGATACAGCAGAGGACCCCACTTCAGACTGCATTCGATTTCAGTATGCCGACGAATGTTCAGTTGCCGCAGCAGTATCCGTTCATATCGCGGTCTCGTCAGCACCAGGCCACCCCTTCTGTGTCCAGCTTCACGCGCATGAGCTCTGCCGACACCAGCGGCTCCAATGGTAGTGACACTGGGGTGCAAAGACCAGCCAGAACTACTGCAGATGGCGGAACATACACCTGCACGTATCACGGATGCACTCTACGATTCGACACTCCACAGCTACTACAGAAGCACAAGCGTGAGGGTCACCGCCAAGCAAATGCGCTGACGCCCACGAAGCCGGTCGCACCCTCACCTGGTATTCCGGACACCCTCCTTGGTAGCCAAGCAGGACCACATCGTTGCGACCGCATCAACCCGAGCACGGGAAAGTCTTGCAATACGGTGTTTTCACGACCCTACGATCTTACTCGTCACGAGGATACAATTCACAATGCACGCAAGAGAAAGGTGCGCTGCAATCTCTGCACCGAGGAAAAGTCGTTCAGCAGAGCCGACGCGCTCACCAGACATTACCGCGTCTGCCACCCAGATGTCGAGTTCCCGGGCAAGCACCGCAGACGGGGTGGTTCTGCAGCATGATCCTCATGATGGTTTGTCAGCGATATCCTAGCAACTAGCACATTCGGTCATGGGGGTAGTTCTGGTCTGTTTCCCCCGATCGTCGCATCTGGATGCTGCAGTTGGGCACGGGAGTGGAGACGACATGCAGCCATTGAGCAATTCAGGGTCCAACGCCAACGTCAATATGCAGGGACTTTGACGGGGCTACGCGACGACTAGGCCGGGAATGGGAAGATCTGCGGGTTTGCACGTTCCTTTTCCTCACATACCCACTCAATTTGGTTTGGTGGGGCAGATCCGGCGTTCCCCAATGACGTCAAGCTGGATCAGCTTGGATCGAGCCAACGAAAGTCTGCATCACCACCGACATCATCGCCCGACTCTCTGACGAGCATGCTCGCATGCTTGCATCATCAGTAGCATTTGTCCTTTCCATGGAGGGTGGGAGTTTTCGAGACTACCACCACACCCCCCCTTCCAACTCTGTCATTCTACCCACAACTACACGCACGATGATGCCAGCATCGTCATATGTGTTCAGGTTTCATCGGCTGGCTGCGTCCGAGATGCCTTTCCTGTCCATTTTCCCATAATCATCATCAAGCCGGCGCAACTGTTTTTCAATTATGTCACTCATCCGCACTTGCGAGATCGTGGGTATAGACACGGACACAAAATCGATCATGAGACTGGGTTAGCGCTTTCATTTCGGTTTTACGTTTTAATGCTTCTTTAATTTCTTGTATTATTTGTACATATTTCCATCTAGCATGTATTGAATACCCCGTCTACGCATGCGCGGCGTGCAGTATTGTACAGTATCTAGTACACGGGACGACATTAGACAAGGGCTCTGGGTTATGACGATCACGACGGTAGATGATACGGCACTCAAAACAGAATATGATGTATTCCTACGCTTGCGCAATTGATGCGCAAGTCGCATGAAGAGTAAAAAAAAAATTCAATAGCAAAATTTTCTTGAGTTTATAAAATATGAGATCAATTTCCAAATTTCGAGTACCGATGCTGCTCCAGAACAATCGCGATATCGTTCCCATACAAAGCGTATCTCTTTGCATGATTATCTACTAGTCTAAACCGAAAACATTCTGCCGTGCTAATCAGCCCATTTCTGTTCGGGAATCAAAACCCTTATCTATTTAACCTCGCCGTGCTCAAAACTCCCCAAAATGTAGCAGTACAGGGCCAGCCAAGAGTCAACCCGAGGCCAGGGGACCATAATTTAAAACCTTTGGCCGGCATCTCCCGTGGTATCCCGAGTGGGTATATTCCTTGGAAACTACACATGTAAAGGATAAACGGGCTCACTGCTTCCATGGTTTACAACGCCGAGGAAAGTTCCCAGCCACACGTATGACGAGGAACTGCCGTCCTGGCAGCCCTGGGTGACGAACGAATCTGCTCTCGCGCACGTGCCTGGTGGGTAGCATACTTTGCCCCCCCGCATCGACAACTTTAGAAACGCCGGGAATGATCAGCGCTTCTGCAGCAGACACAGTATGTCGACCATTGGTAATCGACGAGATATAGCGAAATATGATAGATATGTATCCAACACGGGAGATAATAGCCTGGAATTCGTGGCTGTGCCTTTTTTTTTTCCTCCGAATCGGAGCTAGCTTGGACCCAATGCAATGCTTTGGGTGAACGTTTATTGGGGAAACATGTAGCCTCGATACCTGGCAGTGGCAAATATTTGGACAAGTCGGGGGTCTTCCGAATTTTTATCTATCGCTGAATTTTGGTTCTAGTAAAACTGTACATGATCTGAATGTAGCTGATGTTCCCAGTATTACCGTATCAGCTCAATTGAAAGATCAGGGCATGGAGACTAAGCCGCAACTACTTCCAGCTGCCGCGCGTTGTGTAACGAAGGTGGCGCATTGCGTTGGTGTTTGATAACTGGCTCTATTTTCGGATATACACTGTTCCATGAGCAACTGAGCTCCAGTGGTGTAGGCAGGCCATGAGCCACGTTGCCACGTTGCTCGAAGTCGTGACAAGGATGCTTGGCTGAATATCATCGTTGCAACACGGCATCGTTCCTCAGCCCCTACAGTGGCGCGGCAATGGCGCATCATAGTGCTCGAGTACGGCAATTTGTCTCCAGATTTGCTCAAACCGGTCACTCGATAGCCCTGATGATGGCCCATGTTAGAATCTAGAAAGCTTCAAGCTCAGAAATGGACCCACGACAGCAAGATGGAGCATCTTCGGGTCTGAAATCTGCGCACTTGCAGATGACTTGAAGAGTAGTTGCGCGTGTCTAGTTGTCATCCTAGGGTTTCTCGGAGCATAGAGTCTGGGACGCTCAAGCATAAAACTCGATTAAAGTCCAAAGTAGCCTTTAATACAGGGGAGTTTCGAAGAGGAGGTGCGCGGTGAATACAGATGTACGAGGAAGTTGTCGAGAAACTGTAATTATATCGGGTAGAAACGGCCAAAGAAAGTGCGAGGTCATTGCTCAAGGTTCGCAAAGCCCAGAGGCCGCAATACAACATGTGACAATACGTGTACAACATTTTGACACGGAACAATGTATAGTAAACTAGATCTTGTTTCTCGCTTTGCCTGCTCTCGTGAAATATAACCTTTTATACGCCGCTCTGTCTCGCATTTATACCCATCGATTAAGTCATGTACTGGATCATTCACTCGTGATGCCTCCTAAGCATCCAGAACCGCGGATCGAACATCCGAAAACAATGGCACAATGCCCGTCCAGAGTTGGAACTAGTAATCAAGTTAGAAGCATGTTCCACAGTGAGGGAAGGACAGTGAGGGGCGCTCGTGGGGATTGTGTGCGGAAGTTAGTACAAGACTGCTGCTTACCTGGTAGAATCCTTGAGAGCAAAGGACTTCGAGGCCTGGGAGCGTGCGCCAGCCAGAGTTCTCCGCCATGCCCATCAAAGGAGTGAATTGCGGCTTATAGGCCATTTCCAACAGCACTCGTGGGGAATTTGCGGACTTGGGTTGTCGCAGCACTGTTCCCAGAAGTTCCTTCATGGCTGGATCGATCGGCTTGTCTGCTGGAATGGTGGTGATGATCACCGTTGGGAGAATCTTCACATGACTGGCATCCTCGAGCAGCTCAAGCCCATAGTCGCTGGGGAAGGATTGGCAGAGCTCAGTTGCGCTCTTGGCATTGCGTGCCACAACATAGATTGGGCTATAGCCCAAAGAATGGAGAGCGTAGATGCCAGCACGAGTGGTGCCACCGGACCCCACCACCAAGGCGCTTCCAGGCTTTGACTTCGACACTGAGCTCACACCAGCTGACCGAAGCGTGTAAACCATGCCCATCCAATCGGTGTTCGTACCGATCAAGCGAGCTTTTCCGTCGGTCGTAGCTTGCGGGATGATTGTGTTAATCGCACCAATGATCTTGGCAGAGTCTGTAATCTCATCCACGTACGGCATAATGTCGAGCTTGAGCGGTATCGTAACAGAAGCACCACCGAAGTCTGGAGACCGGATAAGCTCCTGTACAGTCGAGGCATCATCGGTTTCATTCAAGCTGTACTTGTGGGGGAGACCCGTCTGCTTGAACAGCGCATTGTGTAATGCGGGCGAGCGCGATGCCGAGATGGGTTTGCCGAAGAGGTAGAAATTCTTCGTCTCAATCTCGCCCAGCAAGGCCAAACCGGCGCGAATCTCAGCCGCCGAAAGTTGTCCAGGAGCCGCCTTGAAGGGCAAATCCGGGTGAGAAACGGGAGTCAAGAAGCCATTCAAGACTCGAGAGAGCTTGCCTATCGTTCCCATATTGAGAGCAATAATGGGCTTGTCGTGCGCAGCGACCATGCGATCCCGGAAGTTCTTGCACGCAAAATTATCGTCCATCGTCTTAGCTACACCGATGAGCTTGATGATATCTCCGTATTGCAGGGCTCGGTTGTACCACGATTGGAACCCACCGTTCTTCCACGACAAGACACCCTCGGGGTCATGATGCGACGCGATGATGCGAGTGGAACCCTTGATTTGTGAAATGCTGTCCAGAGTATCCGAAGACAGCGTCATTTCCAGGTCAATGTACTCGACACCCATGCGGATGGCAGTTCGGTACAACGGCAGAAGCTCTTCCTCCGACTCGTAAGTGAAACGTCCGCCTTGTGCCTTCGATCTGACTGTGAATACAATAGGAACCTTGGCTGAGGAGCGCAAGAGTGAGATCTGATTGACGAGAAATTCTTGGGATAAATCTTGCAGGAGATCAACACGTAGCTCTACCGCATCTGATCCAACGACCACTCGTGGCAGAACATCAATCGCAGCAGAAAGAGATGGAACAGTCAACGAGACGAAGAAGGACGTCTGCTTTTTCTTCACCATCTCGAAATGAGTGCTTTGTCCAGCAATGAGCGTGACGAAATCCTTGAAATCCGCAGGAGCCTCGTTGATACCATCCAGGTAAGGGCTGTGGTACTCGTGGCTGCTGCACTCCAGGAACCAAGGCTTCCGCCGTTGGTAGACCCCGCGGATCTCTTCGGTGTAAGCAGGCCGGGACTTATCCCGTAGAAGATATTCAACTATCTGATCTTCATCACGGTTTACGAGAAGGACGACACCGCCGTTCTTGTGGTAAGAAATGAGTAGTTCACGGGCTTCGGGTGTTTCGACAATGCCACCACCGCACGAGAAAACATGTCCGTGAGACTGATTCTGCATCATATCGCGAAGAAGATCCGCCTCATCTTTGCGGAATTTTTCCCAGCCACCACTGCTATTACGAATGATCTCCGGGATCGTCATGCCAGCTCTTCGCTCCAACTCCGAATCAAGGTCCGTGAAAGGTCGATTCAGAATGCTCGCCATCCAGCCACCAGTCGTTGTCTTGCCAGCACCACGCATGCCAATAATGAAGACGGATGGGCCCTCGTCAGGCTTCTTGGTATCCTTCGGGTCAGCCTCAGCATCAATACCAACCAGGTCTACCTTGAAGGACTGTGCCAGGACATCCCACCAACCAGGCCATGTCTTTCCGGTGCATTCGCGCTCCAGCACAACAACCGGGTTTGGCGACAAGACGGAAAGGACGCTGAAACTCATGGCGACACGGTGATCGTCGTAGCAGTAGACACCTTCCTTGGGCTCGGTCAACTCGGTGTAGTTCTTGCCGCTGATCTCGATGCCATCCTCAAGTTCGCCGCTCTGGACGCCGAATTTGGCAAGTTGAACCCTCATAGCTGCAATACGGTTGCACTCTTTGACGCGCTGGTTGGCGATACCAGTGATCCTCGTGACGCCAGTAGCAACTGCGGCCAAGACTGAAGCCGTGAGGAAGGCGTCTGTCATGGGCTCCATATCCACATGTTCGATGCCCTTCAACGTGCCAGGTGCCGGGCCGGTCACAGTCGTTGAGTAGTCGGTCTGCTCAACTTTGCATCCCATGGGCCTCAAGACATCCACAGCGAAACGTGCATCGCCCTGCAGGGATTTGGAGCCAATGTTGGGGATGGTGCAGGTGGTTCCTGTGATGGCTGCCACAGAAAGAGGGTATGTGGCCGAACTGGCATCGCTTTCTACAACATACTCCTCGGGGTTCTGGTAAGTTCCCTGAGGGATGTAATAAGTGTGCGGTTCATCCTGAGACTGTGTCACAGTGATGCCGAAGGTCTTCATCATGGCGGTTGTCATGTCGATGTAGGGCTGCGAGATGGGCTTTCCACCAACAAGACGGAGCGTGACTGGTTTCTTGGCGTATGGAGCGCACATGAGAATCGACGAGACATATTGGGAAGAGACGGTTGCTGCCAGCTCAATAACACCACCATCGATACCACCATTAGCGTCGACTCGTACAGGCAAACTCTTCTCCTTGTTCAGATAATCCACCTTTACGCCGTTTGTTCGCAGGGCATCTACGAGGGGGCCAATAGGGCGCACTTGCATTCTCGCGTTGCCTGTAAGCACGGTCGAGTTTGTCTTGGACGGCGAGCACAGGGCAACGACAGAGGTCAAGAAACGGGAAGCAGTGCCGGCATTTCCCAGATACAATGGCTCCTCGCTTGCTTGTAGCTCACCTCCCTTGCCGGTAAGGACCAAAACTTCGCCCGCATCCTCCCAACTGTATGTAGCGCCGTTGAGCTTGGTAATGGCATTCAACATGAATTCGACGTCATCTGAGTGAAGCAGGTTCTTGATGCGGCATGTTCCTCTGCCAAGAGCGGCCAGGACGAGAGCGCGGTTGGAGACACTTTTGGATCCAGGAGGGGTCACCTCAACGTTGAGGTCCTTGGGGACCCCGGGAGCAACGCGTGTGGCGGGAGATAAAACTACTCTGATGGCCTTGTCCTCAACGATGCTCGCCTTGGGCTCGAAGCATTTGCCGATAGCGGAGAGAAGGACAATCTTCTTCTTCTTGCCGACGTTCTTCTTATCGACGGCCATCTTCTGTAGGAGCACGTCAACAGGGCAGTGCTTGCCAGCGGTCAGCTTGACGATGCGCTTGTCATGCAGAGACGTGGGCAAGTCGTAACTTGCGATACACTTGACCAGGCGGGCGACGGCGCTTGGTCGCAGCACTCCGAGATAACGCGCGAGTTCGGCCTCTTTCACCATGCCGATGGCTACTGCCTCGCCATGCAGCACCTGAGGTGTCAGGATGGCCTCGTAGGCATGACCGATGGAGTGGCCAAAGTTTAGGAGATTGCGCAGTCCACCCTCGGTCTCATCCTGCGACACAACCTCGGCCTTGACGCCGGCGGACCCCAAGACAATGCGCTTAAGTGTAGACCGGATAGGGACGAGTCTCTCAGACAGGTCGGCCGTCTTGGAGCGGATAGCTGCGAGAATAGCAGATGCGTTCTCCTCGAGGAAGGCGAACTCTTCCTCGTTCCAGATGGCAGCCGTCTTGACGACCTCGGCCATGCCGTTGATGAACTCGCGGACAGGCAGGGTCTCCAGGAAGGCCAGGTCGATATAGATGCGCTTTGGTTGCCAGAAAGCGCCAATGAGATTCTTGCCCATGGGGGTATCGATAGCAGTCTTGCCGCCAATTGATGAATCCACCATAGCGAGCAAGGTGGTGGGGACCTGGACAAAGCGAACGCCACGCATGAAAGTTGCTGCCACATAGCCAATCATATCACCGATGACACCGCCTCCTAGGGCAATGATGACAGTGTCCCTTGTGCATTGGTGAGAGAGCAGCCAATCCTCGATCTCAGCCTTGGTCTCGCGGCCCTTGGATGTCTCGCCGGGGGGCACAGTCTTGAATAGCAGGCGACTCTCGCTGTTGCCGAGGCGGGCGGCGGTCTTCTTAAAAGCGGCCTCAAAGATGGGGACGTACTTGTGTTCCAGATTCGTATCAGTGATGAGGACGTATGTCGAGGACTGGATATTTTCGAGGAGATCGTCGGCGACAAAGTTCTCCCAGATGCCATGTTCGACGATAATGGAATCGCTACCCAGGATGTTGATTCGCGTGGGGCCACCGCCATCCACGCCGTTCGTTTGAGGCGACATGATTAGTCTAAGACCAGCATTGACACCAATCGGAACGTTGGCTTGGTGTCGGGTGTAGAGGTTGGCTATGTTGCTGTTGTTGTAGTTGTGTTAGTGATGGGTTGTGGGTGAGTCACGGGTCGCGATCTGGGTGAGAGAAGTTCTGGTGGGGTGGATTGTGGACGAGGAAAAGTGGACGAAGGTGGCATGCAACCAGTCTGCGGCTGAACCAACATCCAAGTTATATAGGATCAGTGGAACAATCTGAGGCCGTGGGACAGGTCTACCAGTGTTGCCTTCGACTTGGTATAGATAGAGTACGCGTCCCAAACGATCTTGTGGCAGCTCGGATGCCGTATCGACCGCTCGAGGTATCTCAGATGGTGGGGGGGGGGTCGTGCCAGAATGTTTAGGAAGTTTGCAGCAGGGTGGAACGATCAGATCAAATCGAGGTATGCACATACAAACAGTTGGGTATATAATAGTGGTTCCTGAGCTATCTTGAGCTCTACGAGGGTAGCCTCGAATTACTGTAACCCACCAAACGCGATGCTGCAGTTTGTGGTGGTTGATGACCCCGTAAGCTGTCGGTGACGGTGACGGGCAGGGTCAAAAATTTAGAGAATCCAGGGCCGGTACTCGGAGCCAAGACGCCTTACTACGACAAACATTGACCAATCAATTCAGCTGCGGAATAGCGGCGCATGGTGGGGGGTGCAATTGGGATTTCATACATACCGTAATCCGTAGCTATTGTAAGCCTCCAATGCATGGAGTACTTCTCCAGCTTACACTACCAGCAGATCATAAGAAGCCATTGGAATGTCAACTATTTATGTGCGGACAGAAGCCCAAAGTATCACAAATCATGACTCAGTCGTGCGCAGGCTGGTATCTTCTTGTCACAAGATTGGCTCTTCTGATGGTTCTGCTGCATACAAGCAGGGCCTGAGTGCTGGATTTGCCGAGTACGTCCTTGACGAGAAATTATGCTGCTAAATCACCATTGTTCATTCATTCAATGGCGATGTCTCTGCCCATGTAGATTGTCCACACCGTCCAACTCCGAGCGATTGTCACAACAGATGCCACTTACGCGTTGCATTGGGGTTTGAATTCTGGTGGCTGGGTAATATCAAGTGCCCATTAATCAAAGACAGGATCGAACAGTGAAGAGTCTGACCTAGAGTTCACGATCTGCATTTGGCGAATGCATGTCAACATCAAATAGGACTAGTCACAATATCCAGATGCCTGTACCTGCCAATGCACGGCTGCTTCCGGTAGCAATTTCATTTCGCAACGTTTGTAAGGCCCATAGACCAGGGGTTCTAGTACGTCAGGATTCGCAACATCCCGTTTGTGAAGGCGATAGCTCTAGCGGGAGAATATTTCAGCAGCTGGCTTAATAATGTATGCGCAGCAAGTACTGGCGTAACTCCACAGTCAGCGGCCAAGATATTCCAACTCTCATTCACGGCTAAAAATTGTGCCATGTCTTCTTCTCATGACTAAACTGCGCTTCAAAGTCATGATCGAGTTTGGTGCATGATTCTGGGTGTTTGCGACTCAATTGAAAGTGCAGACTCACACACATTGGGGCATCAGAAAAGGGCCAGCGACCTATCCTTACAGCAGGCAGATATCTAGTTTCGGGGCCATGGCAGAAACTGCGCGTGAAGGCTTCTTCAACGAGCTCAGCAATGGCCACTACGAGCCACGCCAGACTGGCGTAAGAAACACCACATGCCCTCGGTCTCGAAGCCAGTCCGCAGCTTCCACATCGATAAGGCGCATGCGATCGAATAATGGTCATGGATGTGCCGATCTGGAGGACAGCAATGATGAAGCCGGCGTCGCTGCCGGGAATGGTGTCGGCGAAAAGGATAATTTCGAGGTTGCCTGGGATGGTGACGATGACCCAATGTGTCCGCGGAGTATGTCGTTGCTACACAAGTGGGCAATCGTCATCATTGTTGGTACGGGCAGTCTTTGCGTGTAAGTGGCCGCTAGAGCCATTGGCGAAATACACGTACAGGCCGGGGCCAAGCTGATGCTCCAACAGAACATGTGCGAGCTCGATTTATACGTCTACCTACGACCAGATGAACCCTGAGTTTGGCATATCAACAATCGTTGGGACATTGGGCTTATCCACTTTCGTACTGGGCAGTAGGTGTTATACTTCCCGACCCTGGCATCCTGACGCGCACCGGTGCAGAAAGGCTAACTGAGATGGTACTCAGTCGCCTTAGGACCTCTTCTTATGGGCCCCCTGAGTGAATTTTTTGGCAGGCGTCCTATATACCTTGTCTCCTGGTATGTTTTCTGGTTCTGGGATGTACGTCAGGGCACCATCTGATCCTTGCAGGACAATGTTTCTAATATGGATCATCCCTTCTGCTGTTGCAAAAAATGCTGAGACCATGATTGTGGTAAGTGCACACGATTTACTCGGTTCATAGCCATTACAGTCTGACGCTGGAAAGTAGGTACGTTTCTTTGACGGGTTTGCTGGCAGCTCATTTCTGAGTGTGGCGGGCGGAACTGTCAGCGACATATTCAAGAAGGACGCCATCCAAGGGCCAATGACCATTATCTCGTTGAGCCCTTTCATAGGTATGTCTTCGTGTTTCGCAAGGATCATCTGGGTGTAGATACTGACGAGAGTAGGCCCTAGCTTGGGTCCTTTACTTGGAGGCTTCGTCAACTCCTATACCCATTGGAGGTGGACGTACTATGTAAGTGCATAAGAGGCGGGTCAACATGAAATAGTTTAACATGGCTGTTTCTAGTTCCTGCTCATCTGGGCTGCAATAATGCTTGCCTTGATTGTGTTCTTCGCCCCCGAAACATACCGTAAGAAGACCTGACAGTACCGGCGGTGTGTATCAATCAGCTTACCTGAAATGTAGACCCAATCAAACTCAGGGAGAAGGCACGCTCCCTCAGGAAGGAGACTGGCGATGAACGGTGGAGGGCTCCTATGGAGAAATCCGAGAAGTCTATTGCGAGAACGGTAGGCTATTCTCTCCTTCGGCCATTCCAGCTCTTGATGTTTGAGCCAATGTGTCTCGCGCTCGACATATTTTCTGCGATTTTGCTCGGCATCCTCTATCTCTTCTTTGGAGCCTTTGGAGTGGTGTTCGGCAATGCGTACGGTTTCAACCTGTGGCAGACGGGCCTTGCCTTCCTGGGCATCTTCACGGGCATGATCACGGCATCGGCGACAAGCCCGGTCTGGCGCAAAGTGCACAGCCGACTGGTGGCCGGGAACAATGGTATCTCGGAACCCGAATTTCATCTTCCTCCGGCCGTCGCAGGGGCAGTGCTAGTACCCATAGGGTTGTTCTGGTTCGCGTGGTCTTCTTATCCGTGGGTGCACTGGATGGTGCCGATAGTAGGTTCTGGTGTGTTCGGCATGGGGTAAGTAGAGACTCGTTGACCCGACACGGTGCTTGCAAAAAAAGGACAAGACTGAGCGTGTATCACCACAGAACCCTCCTCGTATTTACTGGCATCTTCACGTTTCTGGTGGATGCGTATCCCTTGTACGCAGCATCAGCACTGGCTGCAAACGCCTTCACAAGGTGCGCCTTTGCAGGTAAGTAATAGTGGATCTGGAGGAGTCCGTTTGCGGACACGAGATGAGTGACTGATCGGCCGTACACAGCCGCTTTCCCACTCTTTGGGCTGCAGATGTACCACAAACTCGGCAACCAGTGGGCGTCGACATTGCTTGCATTTCTCACAGTCGCAATGATGCCGTTCCCTTGGCTATTCTTCCGGTATGGCAAACGACTGAGGGAAAACAGCAAGTATGCAACATAACCTCGAACGTCGTGCGATACTGATACGAATATACGCGTCACAAATGGAAAGCATGTTACGGAGTGGGACAAGGATATTCACGCAAATAAATGAATTCGAGATAGAAGACAAATCAGTTGCGCTAACCTAGAGTTATGATGGGTGGCTGGGACAATGGGGGACTCGCAGCCACCCAGCCTCACTCTGAAACCCGCCTCAGAGTAGCAAGAGTAGCTACTGTACGGGGGTCGTGCCGTCTCCACATTTTGAGTGCCAGTGCCATTGCCAGGATGGATACTCTCTGTTGTACTGCAGCAAGAAGGATTTGACAAAAACATGGACTCTGTTCAAAGAGCTGCAGGTGCAGTGAGGGACAGCCCAGGGTAGTCTCAACTGCCGTGTTTTTAAGAAGAGGACGATATAATATACCTAACTACATCCATACATGCGTACATCTGAATGCATGCATTCCTGCGAAGAGCCCAACAGGCAGACAGGAAAATGAAGCATGTGCATCCCTGCGCCGGCCGAGAGATGGGATGTATAAATAAGATATCTGAGACTTCAAGACTTGTTGAAACTGTGGCACGTTCATGCTCAGACGACTACATATGCAGTACATGCTGTTTGCACAGTTGTGGCTCGTCGATGACGAAAGCGCTGGCAGGTTGGCGGGCATTGTTGCAGATCAGTGCGGTGCCAGTGTCAAGTTTTGGCTGCACTGCCCCAAAAGTGAGGCCTCTCTAGCTTTGTGTCAGCTGGTGGTTGACAGCGATAGAAGACGCATGCGAGGTTCAATAATCACGGTTATTTGATCAGAATTTGACTGGTAACGGTTCTTGGTGCTTTGTAGCAAAATCGTGCTTCAAAAAGTTGAAGAAGAAAATAATACTAGTCGTAGTATTCAGATTGTACATATACCATAAGAGGATTGAGTGAACATGGCTAATGTATACTGGCTTGACCTAGCGATGGGCTTGGGCTTGGGCTTGGGCTTGGGCTTGGGCCTTTTGAACGAACCCTCACAAGCACATGGGTTCGAGCTCGCCGTCGAGGAAGTACTTGGCGGATGTGTACTGCGCTGCTGCGTATGCTGGACCGGCCACGTTTGTTTCTTACGGGGAGAGGTCGGATGCCACGTCAAGAAAGAATAGGTTAGCCATGTCATGCCAAGAAGTAGACTCGTCGTCACTCAAATGAGGCTCGGGCTAGTTTTAGTCATCGTCACTAACTAACGTGACTTTTAGTTATGCTCACTAAATTTTTAGCCATCCACTCCGCGTCTCACCTACACTTTCTTTGCCCAAGAACGAATGCAAACAAGCCTTCAATGCTTCTTTAGACAACACAAGAAAAAACAAAACAAACCACTGAACCGCGACGTTCTTTTTCACGTTCACACAATATAGGCAAAACCTGTTCGTTGGAATTCCTTGTAACCTGTTGTAGACATTCGTTTAGTCTTCTTTTTATTTCGTGTTACTTGGGACATTGCACCAATCGTGCTTCATTGACCAGCCAATCATCGACATACGCAAGTCACATTCACATATTTATACACACACACACACACACACACACACACACACAATACGTTCACTTGCGCGCTTTCGTGGTTGACATCAACCAGAGTGACAGCAGAAAGCAGACAGAGGCAGAAGAACAGAGGCAGAGCGAGGTGTAGAGGTCGGAGCTGGAAATTAGTCGCCCGTCAGCCACTCCCACTCCTGCGGCTTGCAACCTGCAGATGCAGATGCAGATTGTTGTACTCTAGCTTCCGCAGACTTGAACCGTACGGAACCTCAGGCCATACATCAACCCTGAAATTACGAAACACGGGCGCTGTTCAGGCCTGCACCCGCCACTGGCTACATACGAGAAACACTCCCGCAGCAGCCGCCACACCCTTGAGACTAGACTAGGGACAAATCGACAGAAGCGCGCTTCCCACGACGAGTGCACAACAGCGCCAGCGGTAGCAGCACCCTGTCCTGCTCAAGAGAAGCAGAATAGACCAGAACAAAACACACCAGCACGGCACAACCGATCGGCGCCAACATGGCTGCAAATGAGTTCTACAACACCCGGCCCTCGCAGCCACAATACTACAGTAACAGCAACAGCAACAGCTATGACGACGACCGTCATCAAGGGGTAGCGTCGCCAGCTCCTTCGACATATCCCCCGTCCTACACCACCGACGCGCCACAACTACCTACACAGACATATGCGGACCGACCGACCGGGGTATCGCCATTTCAAACCCCTTTCGATGATCACGTTTACCCGGCCAACCCCAACCCAAACTCACACCCACACTCTCACTCTCCTGTCGACGCCATGAGCAGTCAGCACAGCTTCGCCCAGGACACCAGATACCACAGTCCCGCCCCGGGCAGTGTCTCCCCCGTGGGTGACGACATCCCCCTGCGCCAGCACCCCGACAACAGCAACAAGATCGGCCCCTCGGGCTTCGCCATGGATTCGACCGATCACGTCTACGACGCCGCCGACGACAGCGGGCTCCGCCGCGGTGCGCAGGACCGGTCCGCTGGCAAGGGCAAGGACAAGGTCCGCTTCGGAGAACTGGGTATGCTGGGCTCGGGCAAGAGGCGCATCCCCATATTTGTTTACCTCTTCTCGGTCATCCAGATTGCCGTCTTCATCGGGGAGCTCGTCAAAGCAGCCCAGCTGACTGGCAGCCCTATCCAGACCCAGCCGTCCTTCAACCCCATGATCGGCCCCTCCTCCTACGTCCTCATCAATATGGGCTCTAGATATGTCATCTGCATGCACCGCGTTCAGAACGTCACCAATTACGATGGCAGGGGAAACATCAGCTGGCCTTGTCCTTGGAGCACCACCAGCGATTCCAGCTCAGCCGACAACCAGTGTACCCTATCCCAGCTTTGCGGCTTTGGTGGCGTACCTGACCCTCCCACCGCCAACGCCACCGTCTCCTTCGACGACGCCGCCTTTCCCAACCAGTGGTGGCGCTTCATCACCGCCATGTTCATGCACGCCGGCATCGTCCACATTGGCTTCAATCTGCTGCTGCAACTCACCCTGGGAAAGGAGATTGAACGAGCCATTGGTTCCATTCGCTTCTTCCTTGTCTACATAAGCTCGGGTATATTCGGCTTCGTCATGGGTGGGAACTTCGCTGCCGTCGGTATCTCGTCTACCGGTGCCTCGGGTGCGCTTTTCGGTATCATTGCCCTGACCCTGCTTGACCTGCTGTACTCGTGGAAGGAGAGGCAAAACCCTGTCAGGGAGTTGATGTTCATCTTGCTCGAGGTTGTCATTTCTTTCGTCCTGGGACTGCTGCCCGGTCTAGACAATTTCTCTCATATTGGAGGGTTTCTCATGGGCCTGTGCCTCGGAATATGCGTTCTACATTCACCCAATTTCCTACGCCAGAAGATTGGCGAGGACCACTTCACCGGGCCCTCCTATTCTAGCGTCAACAATGCCCATAACGGCATTACGAGCGTCGCCTTTCCTCCCTTCCTTCGAAACCCCGTCGGTTTCTTCAAGGGGAGAAAGGCTCTGTGGTGGGCATGGTGGTTGGTCCGAGCAGGTTTCCTTGTCGGCATCATTGTCATCTTTATCGTTCTCCTTAACAACTTTTATACTTACCAAAATACATGCAGCTGGTGCAAGTATTTGAGTTGCTTGGTATGTATCTGCCCCGACCCTTCGTCCGGGATCAATGCTAACTGCCTGCTTAGCCTGTGAATGGCTGGTGTGACACGAGTCTGTTCAGTTCTTGAGCGAAGCAAGGTGAACGAGGTTTTGCAAAGCAAAACCTCAAAATTATACCCTTTTGTAGTAACAGAAATGTGGCATTGGGATGCATCAGCCGGTTTGGGTATATTACGATCAGGTCGCATCATAAGCATAAACAGCATGGTCATGAATAAACAGCATGGTCCTGAATAAACTATTAATGTATATTGAGTAATTAAAGGTGGCGTATCTATCGCTGTTGCCTTCTTCCTGTGAACTAACTATTCGTTACCTTTGATGTGGCTGTACACAAGCTTATCAACACCCCGCCGTCGATTCAAACCCCTTATTTCCACATCAATCACACCATAAGTTGCGCGCCCCACTTCTCCCTGCTGACATGACCTGGAGGAGTTGTTATGGGCGTTGTAGACTTGGTCTTTACTCACTTGAGACGAGGAAAACGGTTCTTGTTCCCATCATCAACTTCGTCCAATCCACAAGAAACCGCGCAGGTAATCTCTAATCGCAATGAAAGATCTTCCGGCTTTCAAGATTGACAGATGGGGTAAGACTATCAGGCATCATTTTCATGTGTACTTAACTAACGTCAAGTTCCTAGTTGGCAATTATAAGGTATATAGCCTACTGCGTTATTATCCAGATTCCATACTAATCCGAGTGATATCAAGCCCATATGCAACATCATGCTCCATGGTATGTTGTCCACAGGCGCGAAACACTACCCTTGGCTGACTGTCTCGATATAGGATCGTGTGCTAGTGAACTATCGCTCAATCAGCTGAAACAGCTATCACCAGATCCGAGTATGGACCCCATCGATCGGGAGCTCCCATTGATATACGGTTCAGTTCTGGGATCCTTGAAACTTCGTAGTCGGCTGGCTGAACTTCACTCAACCACAGCTATAAAGCTGACGGCAAATAACGTGGTCATCACGCCAGGTTCTATTATGGCAAACTATCTAGTACTCACAACGTTATTCTCTGCGGGTGATCATGTTATCTGCCAGTTCCCTACATATGCACAGTTATATGAACTTCCTCGATTCATGGGGGTCGAGGTGAGTCTTTGGAAAGGCAGTGTCGACGATTCTTGGACGCCGTCCGTCGAGGAGCTCGAGAACCTCGTGCAGCCAAACACCAAAGCCATCATAATCAAGTAGGAGTCATATTCAATAAACCACGGCAGAATACTACTAATAGCCACCAGCAATCCAAGTAACCCAACGGGAGTTGTGCTGCCGTCACGCGTGATTGACGAAACCATCGCCGTGGCGAAGAAGTATGATTTGACGATCTTCTCGGACGAGGTTTTCCGACCGCTCTTCCATAGCCAAGATCTTCCACCGCCCCCAATCGTCTCCACTGGGTTTACTAGTTGCGTTTCCACCGGATCGATATCGAAAGCTCATGGTCTTCCCGGCGTTCGGCTCGGCTGGGTAATATCTCCCGATATTGACATTATCCGCCGAATCATCATCGCGCGCGACTATACAACCATCAGTGTTTCGCAGCTCGACGATAGCGTTGCTTGCTTCGCCTTGGACCCGAGCGTGTTGCCAGTATTAATGGAGCGGAATCTGGCCAAATGCGCCGCCAGCTTGCGCATGCTCGATGACTTTGTCGTTCAAAACGCTCAACGGTGCAGCTGGGTACGACCTGCTGGCGCTGGCACAGCACTCGTCAAGATAGTAGAAAAAAATGGTCAGCCAGTCGACGACGCAGCCCTCTGTGCTGAGCTGGCCCAAAAATATGCCATCTCTCTTGTTCCCGGTGGCCACTGCTTCAACGATGGCGAGGCAAGCGAGTTGGATGGCTACATACGCATTGCCATCGGCGACGACGATACTTTGCGGGCAGGGCTGTCAGTTTTGGGCAGCTACTTGAATTCATAAATCATAAAGATGGTATCCTACACCGGTGTTCATATTTGGAGGTTACATTGTTTATTCCGAATGGTAGTCTATCTCCAAGAGTATAAATCCTCACTCGAATATTTCGAGTTGTGTTTATTTTTCAGCCTCGCCCATTCTGAGATCCAATATTATTGCATACTTACTGCCTAGGACTAGCACGACGGGTGATTAGGATACTAAACTCGTGATCCGCCGGCTTCGTATGCGGGCTAAGGGCCTCTTTCTAGTGTCGAGCCTGACACCGAATACCGGGGGCATTTGAGGGACTTGTTGCACTATTTATGTTGCTTTGCGTTCCCCTTTTTGGGCCTGTCGCTGTTGTAGCTTCCTCCTGTCGGTTTGGCCCACGTGACCAGCGTATCCGGTTGGTAAGGGCAAGACGGGATAGACACTGTCCCGGGCAAAAGTCTTTAGTAGGTCACGTACGTGGGATGTGTGGCTCTGAATCAATTACCACTGTTAGAATATTTTCTATACTTATATCAGAAGGCTACATTAGTTTACGACAGAGTGCTCCGTTGCTAAATTCTGAGACCGCCACCTTTCTTGATCGCTTGTTCCGAGAGCAGAATCTCAATGAGTTGAGTGAACAATTGTCGAGCTGCTGTGTTGAATAATTGCCAGTGATTTCCATCATCACGCAGGAGAGCAACATCTCTTGAACCACCAGTACCCCCGGATACGACAGCAGCTTCTGACTGGCAACCCTCTTAAGCATAGCCGCTGACACAGTGACAACTAGAGCCGTCGCGACTACTTGGTCGTATTGGTTGCTGTGGTGTACAGCTGTCGAATGTGGTTGCCTGACGCGGGGGAAGAGGCACTGGAAAATATCGAGATAGGGGTAGTGCCAAAGTCGCCAAAGCCGCTGTTGAGACTCTCACGGGTGGGTCAATCCGAGCTGGGAAACCGCACGCGGCTATAGTCACAATTTTTATTACAAGATAGGTTGGAAGATTGACCGCCAATAGTCTAATTGCATGTAGCAATTTTCGTTATGACCACCCCGACAAATTTCGTGAGGGATCAGAGTTCATGTCATATCTTGGAAATTTTGCTCGAAACAGCGTTAATTCAATATTTTTCTTATATAACCATTACCAGGCGCGGAATTTACCGGTGAGATAGCCAACCCAGCGCTGTGGCGCTAAGGCCGGTTCTAGTCACAACCGTAGTCGTGTTGAAGATTACAAAGGACAAAGAAGTACACACAGTTACAGTGAGCGCGCTCCGCTTAGACACTGGCTTGGAGACATTTGTCAGCTAGGACATGCCTATACTTGCTTTGATAAGGAACCGCTATATAACGTGTTTCTCATTCTAGTACTACAGTGTTAGACATGTTAGCGTAGCCAACGTGTGGTCAGAAAAGAGTGTTGTATAAAGCATGGAGAGCTATTAGCGTAGCCAAGCCCGAGGCCAGCGTTATGTATTGGTCTAGCCTAACGTACAATGCTTATTGTCACTACGTATACTTTTAAACCCGATTTTTTTTAATATACTATAGCTGGTTTTTATATTACATAATAAAACTAAAATAAAAAGCTACTTATAATTATTTAATTATTTAAGTATATTATTAATTATAATAATTATAAATACTATAATAAGTATAAATAATATAATAAGTTACGTTTATATTAGTAAAATATATTAGTTATAAAGAAAAGATTATAAAGATAAACTTTTAAAAATATATAAAGTAAAGATATTTATAAATATAAATATTAAAGTTTAAGTTTTACTTATATCGCTTTTAAGTTATATAACTTAAAGTCTTATATTATCCTCGTTTAATAAAATCGGTATAATAATAGTTAATTACTTTAAGCCTGGTTTTTAACTTTTGTTTGTAATATTAAGTCCTTTTTTTAAGTCATCTTTTTATATATATTTATTAAAGCTTAAGCTTTAATAATTAATTTAAGGATTTACTTTATTTATAAATCCATAAACTAATTATTTATATAAAGTAAGAATTTAATCCTTATTATATTTATTTACTCCTTTGTAAATATTATTTAAAGTATTTAAAATATAATGCTTTTATTATTTTTATAACGTTTAAAACGCGGCGCTTTTATCGCTTTTAATGTCGTTTAAAGCGTTATATTTATATTATTCTTAGCTTATTTAATCGTTTACTAATAATATTCGTATAAATATAAATTATAAATTATTAGTAATATTATTATAGTTCTTTTTACGCGCGATATTACTAATTAGATAATTAAATATTATTAAAGAATAATATAATATATAAAGTATTAACTTAGACTTTATATATCGACTAAAACTATACTTTTTACCTCGAAGATAAATAAATATACTTTATTGTTAATATAAACCTTTGTTAATTTTTTTTACTTATTTTAAAAGGTAAGTTAATTAAAATCAATATTAAAACGACCATTATATAAAATACACTTTAAATATAGCTCTTAGTGTTTATTTCTCTTATCTTATAGCGCCGAGGTGTTATACGTCATTATGAATTTAGTAGAATTCTTATTAAATATAAAACTGTTATTTTATAAAGATTATAACTTTATTCTTTAAATTATATAAGGCGTCTTTGTATAATTTATGTTTAATTTAAGTTATTAAAAGTTGTTTTAAACTTATTTTCAAACTTATTATAATTAACGAATAATTCGTTAATATTATTTTTCCGACTTATTTTAATGTTATTATTAAAATAGTCTTTTATAACTAATTTAAACTACTTAAGCGCGTCTTTTTAAAGGAATCTTATAATATAAAGGATTTTATTAAATAACATAATAATTTTATCGCGATAAAAACGTAAATATACTTTATATTAAATAAGGAATCCTTAAACGATTCTTTCCTTATATTTATATATTTAAAGTATTAACATTCTATATTTATTATTATTATACGTAATTATTAATAATATAATAATAAATAACATATTAGCGATTTACTCTTAAATCACGTTACTTATAGTCTTATACTATCTTTATTAAATAAAATCTTTATATTAGTAATTAGTTGCCCTAAGCTCTTTTTCCCTACTTTAAGCCTTGCTCTTAACCTCTATTTATAATTAAAGGTTAGGAATAATTAGCTTATTAAGTTTTAACTAAACTTAATAAGTTTTGAGTTTCGTTTAAGTTAATAAATATATGAGCTTAGTTACTCTAAGTTAATAAATACTTAAGTTTAAGTTAACTTAAAATTTATAACTAAATTAACTTAATAAATATTTATTTTTAATGGGGTTTTGCTACTAATATATTAATTCTTTTTTAAATCCTTATTATATAATTATACTTTAACATTTCTTAAATGCTTTTTATTAATATAAAAAGCATTTTATAAAATAAAAGGAACATTTTTGAAATATATATATAATATATAATAATAAAAGAAAGGTATATTAAATGTTTACTTGAAAAGATAAATTAAATAAAGATTTGTTTCAAAATATTAATAATATAATAATAAGCTTATAATTAAATATAAATTAAAGAATTAATTTAATATTAAAGTTAATAGTTAATTTCTAAGTTTTAGTTATTAATAATTATTAACTCATTAAGTTAGTAAGTAAACTAAAGCTATAACAAATAATTTATAACTTATATATTAACCTTGTTTATAAAACTTCATATATTAATTAAAGTTATACGTTTTAAGTTAAAGATAAACTAAAATATAAAATTCTTTTTAAATACGCTCGTATTATAACTCATTAATAAACCTTATTAAACTAAAGTAATCAAGGAAATAATAATATTAAAACCTTTAAAAATACATTATCGTTATTATAAACCTTTACTAATTCTTTGTTTACTTTAATAACTAAAATAAATAAGATTAATATTAAAATAACTATTATATAGAACAAGTTAACTAGAAATATCGCGTGTAAAAAGGATTATAATAATATTATAAATAATTTACATTTCGTATTTATAAAAACGTTATAAGTAACGGATTAAACAAGCTAATTTACCACTTTATATAATAGTTTAAAAAGAAATTCGATCCTCGAAATATCGACGTTAATAACTAATTATATAATTTACTAAAAAGACGAATTAGAAAAACCCTTAGTACCGACGATAATACCGACATTATAAACGAGGAATTAACGGCTAATAGGAATATTATTTAAAAGAACTTTTTAAAGGAATTATTACTTTAAGAAAGATATAACCATTATATATACTTCCTCGAAAAGGTTAAACAAAGAATATATTAATAATACAATAATAATAATGGCTAACTATTATTTAAGGAAATATAATAAGATATTTATTAATAATAAAAGAGTATTAGAGCAATATTAAAGGACAAAACAATTTAACCTTGAATAATATTAATAAATAATTATTATCGAACTAATAAATTATATTATTTTTAATAATTTATTCAATAATAAAATCTAGAGATAAATACGAAACTTATAATAAAAGTAAAAGTAAGAAAACGTTACTTTGCTTTTAAAAGAAATATTATAAAATTATATAATCCTCGTAATAATTACGATAAAAAGACGAGCTAATACTTTAAGTGCTTGAAAAGAAGATTATAAAGCCGTTAAGTAACGAAAGTATACTTAGGTTATATAAGAAGTTATAAACCATTAAGAATAACGCCGACTTATTAAGAAAGGATTAAGAAAAGAGTAATAAAACTATTTATATTAAGATAATAAGTATTAACAGAAAGGTCTTTATATATTATTATAATTAATATATGTAATTACTTTACGATAAAGGCTTAGATTATATAACGCGATATTAAGGCCTTAATAAAGATAACTATTTAAAGAAAATTTATTTATTATATATTGTTAATAAACTTTAAATTAAATAAAAGTAGAAAAAGACGCTCTATATACTTAAACTAGTAAATGAATAAATATATTACTTATAATAATAAATTTAGAAATAAAGAAATAAAGTATATTCCCGTTTATATTTAGAATTATAAAGAATAACTTTAATATAATATTATTAAAATTACGGATTACGACTTAATTTTAAGGATACCTTAGTTACGATTAAGTAATCCCCGAGTAAATTAGATTTTAAGTTATTTTAATAGAATATATTAAAAAGAGACTTAAGCTTTAAAAGAGATTCGGAAAGACGATTA